CCCAAAAAAAAAAAAAAAAAAAAACTCATCACACAAGCTAACAGCTGTATAACACTTTCATTTTTTACCCCTTAAATGATCTATTTTACATGAGGCAAATCTCCTCTGAGCAGTAGTTCTGATCAGTAGCCAACTGGGAGTTTTATATAGAACAGGTATGGCAGTACTGCTCACATTATAAATGTGGTAATAGCCCTGTTTCTTGGCAAGCCAGAGCTTTGATTTTTCTTGGCTGACTGCAGCAGAGAGAAAAGCTATTCACAAAAGGTCTGCACTTTACTACAGGTGCTTTGGAACAATATTGTGAAAAGTAGAGGCATAATTAAGGTTACAAGCACAGCCAGCCAGCTTTTTTCCTGTGATTTACCAGAGAGGGACAGCACTGCTGAAACAGACCTGTTAGAACCTAGGGTAGGCAAACATTGTTTCACTGCATTTTGACTGTGGTTCCTCAGCTGTTCTTTACCTCTTCTTCATCATGCATAGAATGTGAGGGTTTGCTCTTTTGGACATCAAATATGGCAGGAAATTAAGACAGTCGGGTGCAGTGTTGATCATAAGCATTGTATGACTACCTGCATACATTCTCATTAACCACATTCTTAGTTTGGAGGGGGGGTGGGTCTTGTAATACAGCAGAAAAAAAAAGGAACAGAATATCTATTCTATCCAAAGAAGAGGAAGCTGCACAGGTGGTGTGGGTGCTAATGTTCACAGTTAATAGGCCAGAAGTTGCAAGATCAAGGCCATAGCTGAACAGCTTATAGTGCAGCCCTGTTAGATTCCAGTGAAACTGCAAATTTTAATAAATACCTTGTCACAGGGACACAGAGAAGGAAAGGCTTCAAAGAAGAGCTAAGCAGCTCCATATCACAGTTTACCTGCAGCAAATCAATATTTTTATGAATGGCACGGTTTACATTGCAGAAAGAATGCTTGTATGTACCATGTATGCAACTAGTACCCAAGGGACATGTCTATGTATGATTTTATGCATGCCTAAACTTAATATGCATTTGCCTAACGTGCATTAAAGCAATTTAGGCGTGCATCTACACGTGCACACACTACCGCGCATTAATGCAGTGTGCAAACCAACTTGGGATTAAAGTTAGTACTAAGTCAGTCAACATACACAGCATTAATGCACCTTAGGCCATGTGTAGACAAAATGAGGGGCATATGCATACGACACTTTAAAGTGGGCTAAATGCTTTTGCACCACTTTAATGGTGTCAGTGGTTGCATGCCTCAGTGGCGTATTATACGTTAATTCCAGCTGCTGTCAGAAATTCAGCAGCATAATGTGCCTTAAATGACATGGGCTGCAGCAAACTAAAACTCCTCCGAGGAGTTTTAGTTTGCTATCCCTACAGCCACAGAGTGAAACATCGGGCTCCATGCAGCCCAGGGGCTCTGAAGGAAGCTCTGCAGGAAGCTGGGGAAGACAGGCTCCACCCAAGAAAAGCAGTGGAGCCTGATCTTTCCCACCCCCTCGAGGCCTGCCTGCCTGCCTGCCTGAGCTGTGTGGGTGGTTGTGGTGCTCCCTAAGACTGCCTGAGCTGGGTGCCTGCAGGCAGGTTCCACCTGGGACAGGCTGCCACTGCCATAGAAGGAAGCACCAGCTGCCCCCGCAGCCCAGAGACTGCTCCACCTCCTGGCAGCTCACCAACCCTACCTGCCAGAAAGGCAGGTAAATCAGCAGGGTGTGTGCACAACAGGGGGGCTTAATCAACCCTAAATTGAAATGCATTAAGGTACTGTAGCTATTCACACACAAATTTGATATCAGTGGTTTTGTAGGTATCAAATTTAAGTGTGAATAGCCTAAAATTGCCATTTTAAGATGCATTAAGGGAGTGCACATGTGGATGCATGCCCTTAATGCACTTTAAATCAGGCTAAAGCACCTTAAATTGGCATGTGTAGATTGTGGTGTCCAAATGAACTCAG